TCTACCAAGGACGATGGACGTCCCCAGGTCATGCCACAGCTGGGTCCTGAGCTGAATGGTACCCATTTGTGTGATGGGTTCACTTTGCTGGACCAGGGCGGGGTGGTGGGGGGGAGAGTCAGAACCATGTCTGAGTCTGCATGCGCGTCAGGGGCTGGGAGCTGGGGGCACACTGGCTCCCCAGCACCAGACTGGCAGCTTGCTCTCTGTGAAACTGGGAAATGACAAATGACCAAAAAATCAATTTGTAATCTGATTGGAGGTTTTTGATTTCCTCTGATGAGTTTAAATTTCATTAAAAGCAACCTTATTCCAACATAAAAGGAATCCTTGAAGGGTAAAACAGGGGATTGTCTCACTGAGTATAAAGCCTCCCGACTCTTTTGTGTGATTTATTCATCGCATTAATTGTGAGGGCCAACCTGTGGTGTCCGTTGGCAGCTGGGCCCTTATCGGGGCCTGGGATCGACCAGGCCCGCTCAGAGCACAAGGACTCACATTCAAAACTCGCTCTTTGGCATATTGACACTCGAGTTATCAACAACTCGTATTATCTGCTGGGAGGGAGCGCGCAGCTCGTGGGGACAGAAGCAGCTACAAATCATTGCCACAGCCACCCCTCCGCATTCTCTTAATTGTACGTATTCTCTGGAAAAAATGATCACCGGGGCCTCTTGTCTTGATGAGAAATTGACATTTTCGGAGGACCTCTTTGGGCGCCCCCAGCGAGGAGATAAGGCTGAGTTGTTTTAAAGGAGAACAGCCCTTTCTTCCTTTTCAGCTGCCTCCCCTTTTCCTCTTTATTGCTCTCAGTGACCCACTTGATGAGTATGGATTTCATGAGGTCTTTTTCAGCATTTGAACTATAAAAGGTTCAGAATGACACCACCCCTTATAGACAAAAGATAACCTTGCCCTTTGAATATATCGATTCTTTATTAACTAGGCTGTTTAATGCAATGAAATGAGGCATTAGATGGAAGCCCATTTCAAGTGCTTTGAATAATCTTTAAAAGCTTGAAAGACCTTAAAAGGCAGCCTGATAATAATTGGCATACATTTGGAGAGAATGCAGTTCTTGCTTCTGATTCGAAACACAAACATGAAACAATTTCTCCCCAGGTTGTAGGGCCCTGGTGAGCCAGCTCTGGGGAGGCAGCCCCCCCCCCCCCCCCCCCCCCCCCCGGGGGTGGGTATTTCTGGCCCCAGCTTCAAGGGGGGAGGGGGGGGACTTGGGCCCCCAGCGGGCCCCCCCAGCACCTCGGGAAGGACCCTGGGGGGGATGGGCGGGAGGGTGGGCAGCCGGCAGCCTTGTACCCCGAGAGCCTCTTTTTTTTCTTTGCTATCTCTTTAAGGCTGAGACAAAAATGCAGCCAAAGGAACCTGATTGCCATTGAAGGGAGAAAAAGGTATTCACAAGTTTCTTTATGTTTTGAATAATTGTTTCCTGTTTTGCTCAGCAGAACAAGTAATTAAGATGACATTTGTGAGTACTAATTTGGATCACACTTATGTGTATGTGTTACAGAGCTGCAAGCCAAAACATGCAAAACCAGCCTTTCATTGAGGAGAAAGTGAAAAATCCAGAATGAGCTGGAAGGGGCGTGCCGAGAATTCGCAGGAGCTGAGCTTGGTTGTGTAAATTAGAACCCCAGTGCTGAGGGCAGCTCTCACGAGCTTTGGTGCCTTTGGACGCACCACCATGCCGCCCACCCCCCCCCCGCCCCCCACCCCTGCCCAGGCAGAGCGCGGAGGCAGCTCAGAGGGTCTGTGTTGCCACTGCCATGGGCCTAGAGTTGGTGATGACATCCCCCATGTCAGATGCCAGCCGGCACCACTGTCTGGGCCCCTGGTGTTTGCCTGCCTGTCCAGAGCCTGATGCCAGTGCGCTCAGTGGGGACGGTGGGAGGAGCAGGTGTCTGACGCGGCCTGAGCACTTGCTCTCGACCTCGCAAGCCCTCCAGTTTGGAAGCGGTGGCGGGAGCGCCGGGGATGGGGCTGGGGGAGCTCGTGGTTGGTTAAGCGCCACGGTGCTGCTGTGGTCTGTGTGTCCGACACAGAGTCATGTACAGACGCTTGAGTGCAACATACGTACAGATGGTCCCTCTGGGCACCCGGGCCATCCCAGGAACTGTAAGAATTTCTCTATGCAGGTTAGAAGAGGCCTGAGAACTTTGTAGAAAGGTTCTTCCATGAATTTTATCTTGGCCAAGATACAGCCCTGGGGCCCAGGGTGTGCAAAGGACCACCACCACCCCCTACCACCACCAACCCAGTGTAACTTGTGCACGCGTTTTGCCACTCATTGTAATCAAAACAGATAAAATTACCCAAAGTGAAATTCACAGACAAGAAATACTTTAATTAAATATTGTGTAAAATGAACATTTTTATACAGTTAAATATCTGAAAAAATGTACAGATAAAACAATCTTATTGTAGGGTCTTTAACAGTAAAATCTACCATTTAGTGAAGCGCTCAGTTTTGAGACAATGAAGTGATGGGGGGCATTGACTAATTAATCTAAAACACAAACCGAGTGCAGGGATGAGGAAACTTGCAAACGTTCTTAACATGTACACGTGAGCTTGTTTTTAGATCAAATCCTTACTTATACAAAATAAAACGGAGGCAATTTAGTTCCAAAGTGACTTCTCAGGCTTTCCCACGTAGCTAAGCCTTAGCAGTCAAAGGGCCGGACTACGACCCGCCTGACCGCCGGGAACATTCTGCTTCTTTCATTTAGTCCCTTGAATGAACACTTTCCTAAGTTGTGCATGGTTTTGTTTTTTGTGGTTTTTTTTTTTCTTTTTTGTCAAGAAAGTTTTTTAAAGTCCCTCCTTTTTGATTTAAATCTGATTTCTGCTGCGATTTGCAAAACATTTGCTGTGCTGTGTCTGCGAAGCATTTAACACAAAGGGGAAAGACTGACCCTCCTGGTCTCACTGTGGGTTTGGCACGAACAGGCACGGTACCTGAAGGAGGTCATCCCGGTTTAAAAAGTATAGACGGTGCTGTTGGGTCTGACCACAAAAAAAGCACTGTTTAAAAAAAAAAAGTTAAAAGCCAGCAGTGATTTTGGTTCTCCCTGAAACCTCTCTGGATCCTAGGTGGGCCCAGAAGGACACACAACGCAGCAGAATCAGACGCAGAAGGAGCGACACATGGAACACCAGGTTTGTGCTTGTGTGTGTGTGTGTGTGTGTGTGTGTGTGTGTGTGTGTGTGTGACACCGTAAATCTCCAAATGAAATATCGATTAACAATTGTGTCGTGAGCCTGTGATAAAATAGCACAAAGGTTCTTTAAAGAAGTCCACTTTTAAGGCATCAGAGAAGTTAATGTGGCAAACATTTTAATTAAAACATCAGAAGTAAATTTTATTTTAAACTTTAGGCCTCTGAATTTTTCCAGTAAACACAGTTCAGCTATGTGGCAAAGTCATGGGTGGCAGCTAAAATGACTTTTTACATTCTACAGAAAAATAAAATAAGGACACAGCCCCAAACGGTGTCTGCTCTTCGTTGCTGTTCCACATGCACAGAATCTACTAGGATTTGTCACAGCCGAGTGGCACCGTTTTGTTTTGACTATACAACGAACTTTTTTTCAAAAGTATTTGTTCAGATAACTTAAAAATAATATAAAAATAAACAATGAATTTGACTTTTCCTCAAAATAAAAAAAAAAGAAAAAAAAAGGATGGAAAGTCTAAACAAAAGCAAATCTTTGAAGTACAAATGAAATGCAAGGACACCGGTTCACTTTAACAAAACAGGGCAGAGAGACAGCTCTTGGCTTAATGCTCTTCCCAACACCAGGCCACGATCAAAAACCAATACAGACAAGAAAAAGGAAATGGCAGGAAAAGCAATGTACAAAATTTCAAAGATAAATACAATATTTATAATCGATATGTTACAAAAGAAAGTCCCTTAGCAACTGTAAGTGTTCATGGAAAAGTGTTGAATGGAGACCATTTTATTCCTTATGAGACACATAAGGAAGAAAACGTGTTTTTTTTTTTTCTAAATATTTAAGTGGATCTGAAAAAAATTCAAGACAAGTGTATAAATATTTAGCTACAACTTTGGCAAAATCACAAAAGTCTACAATTTTATAACCACATACAAAACACATTAGGGAAGAAGGAGCTAGAAGTCAAAAGGACAATTTCTGGTACAAGAAACATGGACCTCACAGTAGCCTAAGAATGCAATAGTATACAGTGCTAGCAAAAGTTGAAAAAATGTTGCAGATCACACTTGCTTAACAGGAAGCTCTAGCAGTGGGAGAATATTTTAACCAACAGACAGTAGCATTTTTTTTTTCTGTCAGTGTGCTTGTTGAAGGCAAGAGAATTCAATATCAAAGTTACAATTTCTAACTACAATAAGTTACAAAGTTTAATTTCATTAAGATGAAGTTAAGCAATGATAAACCCTCCCTCCCTCCCTGCCACCCCGAATTCTAGTCACGTAGTCCTCCTTTCTTCCAGTTCGATGGCTCACACCTCCTTGGCCCCTTTTTTTTTTCACCACAAAAAAATATTTCACATTATAGAGATACACAACCATTGTGAATCTAAGTATGAGCACAGAAAAATGTTTGGAGGCATTTTTCATCAGTGTTTCATGATAATCGAAATGGTGCATTCACAAAGTTTCTCCCAACACATAGCAATACTAGACAGCGAAGACGGAGTCAGAAACTTTATACAAAATAGGCGTCGCTTTGTTTTCCTTAGTCTTCAGGACTGAGAAGTGTGAAAATATGAGAAAAGTTCAGTCAATAAAATGGAATTGTTCATGAAGAAGTAGGCTGTTTGCATGTTGATTCTTAATAGTTTAAATAAAATCTTTAAACAAAGTCTCTTGTAGCATCTCCACCGCGGCCGATGCGCTTGCAGACAATGGCTTCAGCAGCAGCTCATATATACTAAACGTGTCCCCTGAAGTCCGTCCTTGGTGCTGGGCGCTGCGGGCGGAAAGGCGAGCCCCTCACATCGGCGGGACTACCAGCCCAGACATAGCTGAAAGAGAGAGCGAGCAGGTTACTGGGCCGCCCCTCTCGCGGGCCGGCCGGCCTTCGCCTGGGGCTTGACTCAACGGTGACAGTGACGTGGGGCGCGCGCAGCGCCCGCTAACCAGCCGTGGGCTTGGTCAAGGCACGGGGTGGGGGGGTGGGCATCTACCTCATGGGACCGGGGTACGTGTGGGGACAAACCTCCCCCACCCCCACGACCGCTCACGCTGCAGCCCTCCTCAGAGGCTTCCTCTGGAAGGGAACGGCTCTGGCCTTCGTGCGCAGGAAGGCTGCCGCTTCCCACGGGTCTCGGTGGCTTGTTTATAGCAGACGGAGGTTCCGTATCGTAATGGTGAGTCACGGGCTCTCCAGGAGCAAAGCTGCTCACAGCCCCCCTGCCCTACCCTCTCAAGGCCAAGGCCCCGAAGAGACCCAAGTCACAGCCCCGCCTCAGGGCGCTCTTTCCGCTCCTCTCGGAATAAGAAACTTGGTGCTAAAATGCCAAGCACAGCGGACGCTTTCCAGTGAACTCCTGGTACGAATATAATTTAAAATCTTTTAACTTTAGTGTTGTTTTTGTCAGAATGATCATTCTCATTAATTTATGTAGAACATATTAATACATTTGTTCACGTAGTGATGCGAGCTTCAATTTCCCAGTTCATTAATTTCAACAGCCTTAACTCCTCTCCGACTCACCGTTACAACGTTATGGCTTTGGCAGACCCGTGTGGGTACACACTGCCCAGGCGGCGCGCCGTGCTCCCATGGGCCTCCGCACCGTGCGGACGGGGGCCAGGCCGTGGCACCTGGCCACCACCGGGCCCGCAAGCAGCTCTGGGCTGGGGGCCGCGGCGGGCCCTCAGGCCGGTCGGCGGCACACGGGGCCTGGGCGTCCCTCTCATACACTAAGATGTTGGGAAGACAATTATTTCAAATCACGGATACCTTTCCAGTTCCTTTTTTGAGCATTAGTTCATCAAAGTGAAATATGCCACCGACTTCACAAAAGGGCCAGTTTGTCTTCTCCACGGTAACGTCCTCAGCACCCAGCAGAGAGCCTGGTACATAGTAGGTGCTCAGTAAATACTGGTTGAATGGATTCATTTTTTTAAAGGAGTAACTGGATTTGATTTTCACCGGGAGGAGCATATACCAAAGGTGGTGTCTGAAAGAGGCCAGATGACGGCCACTTAATTCAGCGCCTGTGGCCCCCGTGAGTCACAGAGCCACGTGGAAGATCACGAGGCCTAGGGGCACTCACGTGGCCCACCCGCCTCACACCTCACAGGCCATGGTGCGGCCTACGCTGCCCAGAGGGACCCAGCCCTGGGCAGGCACGGGGTGCCTGCTCCACGTGGCCCCATCTGTGCGCAGCTGTGTCCACGGGGTGCCTCCCCCTGCCCTGGGGGCCAGCCCTGCTCCCTCCTGAGTGTGTGCAGGAGAGGACTTAGAAAAACCGACTCCCACCCGGTGCTCACGCATGCATGGCCCTAGTCTGGGTGCACCCCTTTCCAAGGACAGCACAGCCTGGTGGCCCAGGGTCTGCTATACCAGCCAGGTTTGAGAAGGCAGACTCCGTCTCAGGACACGGAGAGCATGCTGGCTTGGGGCTGGGCTCTGCAGGTGACACGATGACCTGCCATCCCCGTCCTGAGGCTACTCTGCTGCGTGCGAGCAAGGAGGCTGCAAGTGCAGGTGCCACAGGCGGGGTGCCCCCTGCTCTCACTGGGCGAGCCACGGCCCTGAAGGCCTGTGTGCTGAGTGGCTGGACAGGGCCCTCCCCAGGTCCTCCCCCCCCCCCCCCCGCTGCATTCGCACGGTTCCCCGGTGCTTCCACTTCCTGCGGGGAGGGGCCGCTTCACCACAAGGACACGTGGGTGAGGTTGGAAGCAGGACGCGATGGTTTTCACCAGCGAGAGTCTGTTACCAGTTGAGTGCAAGCAAAGGGGGCTCATTCACGTGGATACCGGGCCGGGAGAAGGGGGGGGGCCTCATATCGCGGCCCAGCGACGGGGGGCATACAGCGGCCACGGCGGGGCAAGGACCCCGAGGAAGGGCTGGAGCTCCCGCCCCGCGCCCGGCCTGGCCTGCCCTCGGGGGAGAGTTCCGCCGGCGGCACTCGGGGGGGGGGGGGGGGCACGGGGGCCAGGACGCCACCCCTCACCTTGGAGTCCGTTCCCGTTGGCGCTGGTGCAGGAGGGAGGAGGAGAAGCTTGGGGCCGGACCACGGGCGCGAAGGCGCTCTTTTGTTTCACTGCAGAGATGACATTGGCAGGTGAGAATGAGAAAATGCTGTGTGTGCCGCTACAGTTTGAAGGGAGGGTGACCGAAGAGGCTGCCATGGTGGGGCTGGACGGTACTACTGCAACAAAGCACAGACGGTCAGGACGCGCGGCGCCGGGCGCAGCAACACGACACAGAGAGAGCTCTTGGGGCCGCGCCTGGAGCGTCGGGGCGACAAGCACGACACGCTTCCGGCTTGGCCACTCTCTGGACAACAGGCAAACTCTCGTGCTGGCCTCTCACTTCCAATCGGGCAGCCCCATTTTGTGCAGGTTTCCGACGTGGCCTCGCGGGGGGGCCCACCGCAGGTCAATTTACCGTCGCCACACGGACACCCAGCCTCCAGAGCCACCCTCCCTTTGACCCAGCAGCTCACATCACAGAACAGCCAAGCAATGCACACATTTGACTTGGTAGTGAACACGAATCTACGTGATGACGTGTGACAAAAACAGACACTTACTGCCGTAGGGAGAGTTGGCGGAAGAGCCATTAAGAAATCCAGGCGAGCCCGGGACCCCTAGATTGGCCATGGCGCCACTTCCATATCCATTCATGCTAGTGCTGACTGTGTTGTAATTGGACTGCTGGGGAGTACTGCTGGGGACGTAGCCTCGCGGGGACACGCTGCTTGTATTGCGACTGTAGCCGACTGTTAAAACCCCCCCCGGCCAAAAATAACGTTATTATCAGGGAGAGACACACTTGGGGGGGGGTTCCCCGCGAATCTCTAGCATATATGCAACACTTTTCATTGACCTTACGCTCCACGCCTGCCCTGGCGCCTGTAGCCAGCTCCGATCGCCTGATCGCGCCGGCCCTGCTCCAGGCCGACAGCCGGCCCCGCGCGCTTCGATCTGACCGCCAGGCGCTTTCAGGTTTCTCTTTAGAAGCAATTACCGACAGCGTGGATTCGGGGGCTGTCCCCCCACGCTAGGTGAACTTTCACACCTTCAAATGCCACGGCTGACAGGGAGAGCTTGTCTGTGGCCGTAACTGCCCAGGAAGGGCCGTTTTGGGGGTCTTCATTTGTATGGTTACGGCTTCCGTGAGTGTGGGGAGGGGTGAGGCGCGGTGGCGTCAGGCCCGCCGCGGGAGGGCGCACGAACCGGAGCCGAGCGGCGCCGGCGCGGTCCAGGCCTCCTCTGAGACCACTGCCTGCACAGATTTGAGGCAGGAGAACTGAGACCTGCTCAGAACTGGCTCTCGGGACAGGGTCCAGCGACCTGCGGCCGCCAGGTCGCCGCGTGACGGGAGCAGGTGCACCGGAGATGGGGGGCTGGGGGTGGGGGGACTGGGATCTCCTCTCCGTTTACTCCTTCCCAGTCCCACCCATGGGACATACCCGAGGAGGGTCCCGTCCACTTCCTACACCACGGCAGTCCTGTGGCTCCTCCCAGCCTCTCAAAGAAGCTGCTAGCAAAAACCAGGACCCTGAGTGGCAGCCAGGTACCGTGGCAACAAATTAGTTCTGGGTTCTCTGAGCGCGCCCCGCCCCACGCGCGCTGGGCAGGGCCGCAGGGAGCGGAGCGCGGCCCGCCTTTCCCCGCGGGACGCAGGACATGGGCAGCTGCGGCGGAGTCCCAGCTGTCCCTGGGAGCGTGTCCAGGAAAGGGGGCCGGCCCCGGCACGGCGGCGTACCTTGGTCGTTGGCCTGTGAGGTCTCTGACACGTTGACGGCTAGCTGGCTGCTGAAGGAGTTCACGCCCATCATGCCCGTGTGCGCGGGGGTGTTGCCCAGGGTGGGGATCTGGTTGTGGTTGCGGGGCACGCTGTACAAGGCCTCGGCAATGTCAGCTGCTCGCTTCAGGATGATCTCCTAGGGCGGCAGGGGAAGGGCCCGGTCGCCTCCAGCTCTCCCTCATGCCCCCAGGGAGCTCAGGCCCCCCCCCCCCCCACCTTGCCCCTCGAGGCGTTCCCCTGCCCCTTGGTCCAGACGGGGACAAAACGGACTTTGTAACGGGAGAACCAGCTCCCTGAGGAAAAGAGTGTGATGGTGCTTGTGAGCAGTCACCTGCTCTGATCTGCACCCACAGCCCACAGGCCCCCGAGGGGCACACGGAAGCAGGGGAGGCACCGCACCCACAGTCAGAGAAGCCGGCCCGTTTCTAGAGCGCCCTCAGGTCTGCTCCCCAGAGACCTCCGGGCAGCATGAGGATGGGCTGCGGGTCCCGTCCTTCCCTCCCAAGCCGGGCTGTGCCAAACTGTCTACCACCAAATCCACTGGCCAATTCCCAGGTGGTTCTCCTCCCTGTGACACGTCCTCCTGCTTTTGCTTCCTGACTCTGACTTGTCGTCTCCTACTTGAGTTCTTAGTGCAAGGGCAGAGAGGGGACGATGGAGGCTTTCTCCGCGCAGACTCCCCGGGAGTGCTTGTGAACGGGCGCGTGTGTGCCCCGAAAGCCCACGGTGGACCCAGGCTGGCTGGCCCTCCGAGGACACGGTCACCCCGGGAAGGGGACAGGCTCGCCAAGCCGCCATCTGCCTACCTGGTTGTTGTGGGGCATCCCGTATAAGGCTTCCACCAGATCGGCCGCCCTCTTGAGTAATACTTCCTAAAGGAAAAGCAAACAGGGGTGACTTCCCTGGAGGAGCCAGAGAGCCGCTCTTTTGAGAAAGAGCTACAGATTCACAGTTGCGTCTGCAGGGAGAAGAGACCCCGCCACCCACCGAAATCAGCCCAGTCCTGACCCTGCATGGCAGAAAGGAGTGACCGGTCACCAGTACCATCCGGGGGCCCAGGTGAGAGCCATCCAGCCTGCACCACGGCCCCTTCCGTGCAGATGGGCCGGCGGAGGGGCGCGGGCGGCCGGGA